GGCTGAGCAGGAATATATGGGGTAGACTTAGGCTGAGCGGGGATACATGGGGTAGACTTAGGCTGAGCAGGAATATATGGGGTAGACTTAGGCTGAGCGGGAATATATGGGGTAGACTTAGGCTAGGCTGAGCAGGAATATATGGGGTAGACTTAGGCTGAGCGGGGATATATGGGGTAGACTTAGGCTAGGCTGAGTGGGAATATATGGGGTAGACTTAGGCTGAGCAGGAATATATGGGGTAGACTTAGGCTGAGCGGGGATACATGGGTAGACTTAGGCTGAGCAGGAATATATGGGGTAGACTTAGGCTGAGCGGGGATACATGGGATAGACTTAGGCTGAGCAGGAATATATGGGGTAGACTTAGGCTGAGCGGGAATATATGGGGTAGACTTAGGCTGAGCGGGGATACATGGGGTAGACTTAGGCTGAGCAGGAATATATGGGGTAGACTTAGGCTGAGCGGGAATATATGGGGTAGACTTAGGCTAGGCTGAGCGGGAATATATGGGGTAGACTTAGGCTGAGCAGGAATATATGGGGTAGACTTAGGCTAGGCTGAGCAGGAATATATGGGGTAGACTTAGGCTGAGCGGGGATACATGGGTAGACTTAGGCTGAGCAGGAATATATGGGGTAGACTTAGGCTGAGCGGGGATACGTGGGGTAGACTTAGGCTGAGCGGGAATATATGGGGTAGACTTAGGCTGAGCGGGGATACATGGGGTAGACTTAGGCTGAGCGGGAATATATGGGGTAGACTTAGGCTGAGCGGGGATACGTGGGGTAGACCTAGGCTGAGCGGGAATATATGGGATAGACTTAGGCTGAGCGGGGATACGTGGGGTAGACCTAGGCTGAGCGGGAATATATGGGGTAGACTTAGGCTGAGCGGGGATACATGGGGTAGACCTAGGCTGAGCGGGAATATATGGGGGCCTCTGGGACAGCTTGGCCCCACCCCACCTTCCCTACACTGGCTTGGGCTGGGCTGGCTGCTTTCTGGCCCCAGATAGATGTTGGTCTATGGGTTCAGGGCCTGGTTTTGCTGACCACCTGTCCCCCATCTGTTTCTAGGACAGCAGCCATCCCGAGACCCTCATTAACCTCATCGTACTGTCACAGCACCTAGGCAAGCCCCCTGAGGTATGTTGTAACGTGACACAGGCCTTAGCCCCTTCAGGGTGGAGGTGGGGACAGCGACAGGACAAGCAGGGACCAGGGAGACAGCGTGCAGTGGCTTCATTGAGGGGAAGAGGAAGTTGGGCAGTACTCTGCATGGGTCCTACTGAGCCCTGAGCCATGTGAGGACAGCCGGCTATCCTTAGTGTTGAGTGGTCAGGACTGGGCTGGAGCCATCTTGAGTCTAGGTCCTAGAACAGTAGTTCTCAATCTGCGTGGGTCACGACCCCTTGGTGGCTAAACAACGCTTTCATAGGGGTCACATCAGATACATTTCATTATGATTCATAGTAGCAGAATTACAGTGAAGTACCAATTAAATGGGGTCACACAACATATATATATATATATATATTTTTTTTTTTTTTTTTTTTTTGGTTATATGAGACAGGGTTTCTCTGTATTGTTTTGGAGGGTGCCCTGGAACTTGCTCTGGTCTCGAACTCACAGAGATCCTCCTGCCTCTGCCTCCCGAGTGCTGAGATTAAAGGTGTGCGCCACCACCGCCCGGCGGGGAACTATAGTAAAGGGTCACAGCATTAGGGTTGAGAGCCACTGCTCTAGAACGTAGGACATGTTAGCTCACAAAGCTGCATCACCCTGTTTCTGCAGTGTGACCCACCCCATCCTGGTCACTCCATCCCTGGGGCCTCTGCTCCACACCTGAGACTAGCTCAGCAGTGTGCTGCTGCCTGCCTCTCGGTTGGGAGGGGTGGAGGTTAGGGGCCCTCCCTCGCCCCCACCCTGTTCTGCAGAGCAGAGTGGCTTTCGGATCCCCATGTCTGGCTAGCCCATCCCACCTCACACTCCTCAGGTGACAAACCGGTACCTGTCACAGCTGAAGGACGCACACAGGACCCATCCCTTCATCAAGGAGTACCAGGCCAAGGTGAGCAGTCATCCCTGGCGTGGGGGTCTTGAGGGGAGGCTGAGCTGTCTCGTGCATGGCATCTGACCCCCCCCCGCAGGAGAACGATTTTGATCGCCTCGCCCTGCAGTATGCGCCCAGCGCCTGAGGTGGAGAGCCCTGTGACCCCAGCTCTGTGCCAGATGTCACCCTCACTTCCTTGTCTGTCAATAAAGTCTGTCCATCTTCTCTGCCTGATGACTACATGGCACTCACTCCAGCCACTCTGACGGGTGTGGGACCAGGGTTTGGAGGCAGGAGTTACAGGGTCCCACCTTACTCTGGGCTACAGGATACCCTAGCCTCCCTGTCCTGGTAGTCCTCACCAGCCCTACAGGCATCTAGAGGTAGCCTCAGTCAGCATGCAGGGAACCAGGTGCAGGCCCACAGAGCAACTCTCATGTGGGTGTCGAGCCTCGAACTGAGGATCCTAGGCTTGTCAGGGCACTACACGCTGGGCAGTCACTGGCAGGACTGTCAGGCAAGATGGAGACCGTGCTGGGACCTGCTTAGCAGAGACCTACAGTGAGAGCTCTGCACGGGGAGGAGGAAGGCTGCCTGCGGCCGTAGCCAGGGCAGAGGTTGGCAGTGTGCCCCATGTTAGGCTGTAGAGGATGTGCTTCCAGTAGCTGGCTGTGCGCCTCTACCTGTGCCCCGGCCTCATCTCACCTGCTGCGGAGGAGGTACGGTATTTGGATGTCAGGCTGGTGTCTCACCTGTCTCAGGGGCAGCCACCTGACACACAACCTCAGATGCCACTGCAAAGCATCCGCTGGCACCCGACCCTGTGGTAGGAGGGTCAGGCATCATTATCAGCCCAGCATGGGCTCCATTAGGGGTCCAGCAGCCTCAGCACTGAGTCTTGGTGGCTGTTAAGTGTCTGCCCAGCAGCCCTGGTCCCAGGCCAAGAAGAAACTCAGACTGAGCAGGCTTCTTACCTTACAGATAGGTGTTACGTTTGCCAGATGGCACAGGTTGCCAGGAGGGACTGGGAAGGGCCCTAGCCCCTAGCCTGACGACCCAGGAGCAAGTGCAGGAAGCCCTTACCCACGAGGGTCTACAGTCAAGAGCACTGAGGAGAGGTGGGAGACCGGGGGTTGATGGGCAGCCTCAACTACACCATGAGACCCCATCTCAGGGGAAGGGGCTGTGAGGCGGCTTAGTAAACTGCTGTCCCTGAAGCACAGGCCTGAGCTTGGATCCCCAGGTGGCTTGTGTCTGTAACCCCAGGATTGGAGGCTGGGTGTGCGGGACCAGGCTCCGAGGGCTCCTGGTCTAGCTAGATCAACGAGCCCTACGTCAGAGGCCCTGCCTCCAGAAGTGGAGAGTGGGCACTGGAGAGGTGGGTCAGTGTTAAGAGCACACTCTGTTCTTGAAGAGGACCTAGGTTTGGTTCCCAACGCATTCCAGGAGGTTTGATGCTCTCTTTTGGCCTCTGGGCGCCATGCCGGCAAAACACACAAAATGACTAACTCTTTTAAAATAAAATAATAGCGGGCTGGAGAGGTGGGTCGGTGGTTAAAAGCACACTGCTCTTGCGGAGGACTGGGGTTCTGATCCTAGCAGCACTGTTCATCCAGCTCGCAACATCTGGAACCTCATCTCCAGGGAATCCCACATCTTCAGACCCATGGGCACCGAGACTCCTGTGGCAGATGTGTGCACAGGCACATGCACGTCAAGGTTTTTAAGTAGAAGTGAAGGAAGGTAGTGTATGTCTATCCCTGGCCTCCACACTCACATACCACGTGTGGGGGCGTGGCTTCAGTGTGGACTGCTTACTTTGCCTGCCCAGAGCCTGAGCTCCATCACCAGTAGTGGGTAAAACATGCATGGTAAGCCAGGAGTTGGTGGCGCACGCCTTTAATCCCAGCACTCGGGAGGCAGAGGCAGGCGGATCTCTGTGAGTTCGAGGCCAGCCTGGTCTACAAGAGCTAGTTTCAGAACAGCCTCCAAAGCCACAGAGAAACCCTGTCTCGAAAAACCAAAAAAAAAAAAAAATGCATGGCGGTGCATAACTACATTCGATGAGTTCAATGCCATCAGCAGCTACACACTGAGATTTTGTCTCAAAACCCACGAGGAGCCTGAGGCCGTGCTCAGCTGGAAGATGAGCCCACGAGGCCTTGAAGGACTCAGCAGGAGAGGAAACCAACCAGGCTAGTCTCAGTGGCTTTGACTCTGGAAGGCGGAACCACTGGAGGCTGGCCTTTTGACTGTCCCTAGCCCTCCTCCAGGTAGCCCCCTTCCTAATAACTGCACCCTCCCAGTAGTGAGCCTCTAGGTGGCTGGAACACTAGAACCAGGCTGTGCATCCCAGGGGCCCAGCGGGCACAGGTGGCTCACACCTTTAATCCCAGCACTCAGGAGACAGAGGCAGATGGATCTCTTGTGAGTTCAAGGCCACCAAGGGCTACATGAGAGTGAATCAGTCTAAAAGAGAAACAAAGCTCACATTTTAATCCCAGCACTAGCGAGGTATATAAGACAGGAGCAGGGTCTCAGGCCTGGCAATTAGACTCCAGCCACGTTGAAGATAGGAGGAAATTAGTCTCCCGCCATGTTCAGGCAGGATAACCACAGTCTTGGTAGCAGTAAGAGCTCTGCTGGCTTGGTGGCTTTGCTTTTCTGGTCTTCAGCTTGAGCCCCACTGTCTGCTGTCTCTGGGTCTATAGTATTCGTGCTACAAGAGTCAGTCAGCCCTCGCTTTCAGGACGTCATCCTGACTGCTGAAGAGCCCCAGGGTACTAGCTGAATGAGCAGAGGACCACCCAGAGCCTGGGGACCACTTGGTCTCACAGCAGCACCGCAGGACAGCAGGAGAGGTGGCGCCTGGCATCTTGAGGGGTGGGGCATGGGCTGACCACGCCCCTTTTGCTCTGGCGGGGGGCCTGCGCGGCCCCGGCCTGGCTGCAGCGCGTGACGCGGGGGCGCGCAGCGGCTCTGGCGTGCAGACATTAGCCGGACTGCAGGCGAGCGGGTGGCATGGCGGCCGCAGCAACGACCACCGGGCTCAAGGCGCCAGAGCCCATGCCGAGCTACGCGCAGATGTTGCAGCGAAGCTGGGCCTCTGCGCTGGCGGCGGCGCGGGGCTGCGGGGACTGCGGCTGGGGACTGGCGCGCCGCGGCCTGGCGGAGCACGCGCACCTGGCTGCGCCCGAGCTGCTGCTGACCGCGCTGTGCGCTCTGGGCTGGACCGCGCTGCGCTCGGCGGCCACCGCGCGCCTCTTTCGGGTCAGTGCGACCTGGGGGCCCCTGTGAACTGCATGCGGGAGAGCGAGTGGGGTCACTGCTCACGTATCCCTATGTCCGTGGTAGCCGCTGGAAAGTAGGGGGCTCGGGGCTGGAGATGCCCAGGATGTTGGGACCTCAGACTCTATCCCAAGACCCTTTGCAACAGGGCGGGGTGGGTGCAGGGGTGTGGCTGAACTGGGGTGACAGATTGGGGGTCCCATGTGGCGTGGGGTGTTCTGGGTGCAAGGAAACTAGATCCACACTATCCTGGACAGTTTCAATAGAATCTAGAGCGATCCTCTTGGTACAGCCTCTAGGCTGTTGCGGACCCTAGGGCCGACTTGAGGACCAGGGAACCCAGGCTTGCACCTGGAGGTCACCTGCGCCCTGCGTCACTGGGAGCTACTGTGTCTGCGCCCGGTCTGTCAATCGAGGCCCCGCCCCTCTCTGGGTCTTCACCACCCCCGGACCAGGGATGGCACAGACCTGCGTGTAAGGGGCCACGCCGAAGGGCTCAACCTTGGGAATAACCCTGTGCCTGTCTTCCGGGTTGGATTCTGCCGCCCCCATAGGGCGATGGTCAAAATACTGTTTTTGGAGACTAAGGCCACCGCCCAGGTCTGAAGAGTGACCCTGGGAGTGATACTGGCGTCTGACACTATTCTTCACCTTCCCTGGGGGGTGGTCTCCGTGGCATTTGGGCCGGTACCATGGTGGGTACTCTCCAGGGGACTAGCTGGGGACACCCCGCCCCCATCTGACTGGAAGTGGCAGAGGGTGTGGGGACAGAGCGTTGTGCCAACAAAGGGGCCTTTCTTTGCTGGAGGAAGAGGCTGTCCCTTGTTAGGCCAAGAGGGGGTGTTGTCCAGCTCCAGAGCCCACCCTGTCTGGATGGAGCGACCTCAGCCCCCAGCTGTTGGAGAGAGGGGAAGCAAAAGTGAGGAGAGCAGGTCTGGCTCCCGTCTGCCTGGGCCAGCATGCCCCCCCAACCCGCGCCCAGCTGGGATGCTGCGGGCCCACGAAGCAGCCTGACACCACCCTGCTTCCACCCTCCCCCTCCCCTAGAAACGAGCCGACGGGCTGCCCCATTCTCCAAGCTCAACTTGGCAGCAGCCTGGTTGCTAGGGGTTACGGAGCTGGGTTCTGGCTGTCTCCATGACAACTGCTGGGTGCTCTGGGTTCCTCTGGCCCCCTCAGCCTTGGGAGGAAGGGGGCTGGGTTTGGCCTACAGCTCTGGAGCTCCGCCCCAGGGTGCTGCCCATTCCAGCCCGGTTTTTTGTAGTTTTTGAGACAGTGTCTCACTCTGAAGCTCAGGCTGGTTAAATTCACAGCAGTCCTGACTCAGCTTCCCGCAAGCTGGGATGAGAGGCGCACACCACTGGTCTTCTAGCTCAGGGTCCTGTGTGTCTGCATGTCCCCAAAGTCAGCTTGCTTCCCCATCACGTGATTGCCTTGTCTCTCCCTTTCTCCTCAAACACCACCTCTCCCCTTCTCTTGGCCTGCAACATCGCAGCCTGTGGACCCCAGGTTCCCCTCCCATCCTCAGTCTCCTCCTCCTTCCCAAGGGGTGGGGTGGGGAGTGTCACTGTGTTTCCAAGTTCCCCTGTCCGCCAAGGCATTTTCCAACAGTCATCCCCCCTTTCTCCTTCCGAGACCCCTTGTTTCCTGCTAGAACCCAAGCGCCCCCACTTCCTTCTCGAAGGCCACACAGGACAGCTGGGTGCTAAGTTTAGCCCGTCATGGCCACACACATGGCTCTGGTTACCCAGATGACATGGGTGCAGAGACCCAGCCTTCTCACTGCCACCAAGCCTGGCGAGTCCCTGGGCCTTGGACTCCCCCCTGGAGGGGCATCAGCTCCCCAACAGTAACCATTACCCACCGTGTCCCCACAGCCCCTGGCCAAGCGGTGTCGTCTGCAGCCCAGAGATGCTGCCAGGTTACCTGAGAGCGCCTGGAAGCTCCTTTTCTACCTGGGCTGTTGGAGCTATTGTGCCTACCTGCTCCTGGGAACCCGGTACCCTTTCTTCCACGACCCGCCCTCCGTCTTCTATGGTAGGAACCCTGTGGGACCAGCTAAAGGACTCAGCTAAAAACAATAAAAAGGGGGCTTGCAAGATGGCTCGCGGGTAAAGGTGCTTGCAGTCAAACCTGACAATACACGTTCTAGCCTGGGGACCCCACATGGTGGAAATCGAGAACTGACTCTTTTTTTTTTTTTTTTTTCCGAGACAGGGTTGAGAACTGACTCTTAAAAGTTGTCCTCTAGCCGGGCGTTGGTGGTACACGCCTTTAATCCCAGCACTCGGGAGGCAGAGGCAGGTGGATCTCTGTGAGTTCAAGGCCAGCCTGGTCTACAGAGTGAGTTCCAGGACAGCCAGGGCTACACAGAGAACCCCTGTCTCGAGAAAAACAAAAAGCAAAAAAAAAAGTTGTCCTTTGACCTGCACATGCACACACACATGTTCTGGAACGGGCCCAATGAGACACCACTATCAAGCCCCAAGATAAGGGCGGTCATGGAACCCTGCAGCGCCTGGTCAGAGGTGGTCTCCTCCCAGAGGCGAAGTCACAGGCTGGAGTTTGAGTTCCATAAGCAGTGGATAGGATGGGGATTTGTAGGTGTAAAAATGTGCAGAGTGGGGGGCCTCCTTGCTGGTGACCATGGTCAGAAACCCTGGAAGGCACAGAGACAGAGAAAGGCTGGGGGGACTCTGGGTGGGATACAGCTAGGCGCTGTGGGGACTTTCCCACATGCAAAGCACCGCACACAATTTTTCCCCTATGTATTCCAGGTTAGCCTGAAACTGGGGATGCCCTCACTTAGCCTCCCGAGTGCTGGGACCCAGGTGTGCACCCCATCGCCACTCCCATGAGCCACAGGGTGTGAATTTCAAAAGGGTGCTAGCTGCCATTCATTGTGTCTTTATGTAGGTAACTCAGGGTTTCCTCTCCTTTGCTTTTTTTTTGTTTTAAGTAGGTCTCTCTGTGTAGCTTGACTGTCCTGGAACTCACTCTGTAGATCAGGCTGTCCTTGAACTCACAGAGATCCTCCTGCCTCTGCCTCCCAAACACTGGGATCAAAGGCGTGCATTGCCACGCCCAGCTGACCACCCACAATTGAATTAGGTTCATGTCTGGGCCAGAGTGTGTTGTGCATTTCCTGAGCACTCACAGGTGTGTGTGTGTGTGTGTGTGTGTGTGTGTGTGTGTTCCTGGAGACAGAAGCAAAGCAACTCCTAAGTACTGAATAGTGTTCAGTGACGGACCATGGCCTCACCCCCTCACTGGGGGATTCTATGCTGTCTCTATGCTTTTTACTCCTGAGCCACGCCACCGTCACTCATTGGGCAATTTTAGGCACGGGCTCTACCCCTGAGCCCCAGGCCCAGGCTTAAGTAAGTGCCAGGTTGGCTTGAGCTAGGAACATCCAGGAGGAGGCCCCCAAGCCCTCAAGGGGAGACCTGGCCTGCACAGATATCCTGGGCCAGGTACTGCAACAAGAACCATCTCCATCGTAGGGCGGGGCCCAGCGTGATGTACATACTCGTTATCTCAGTACTGAGGAGAAGGCTGAGGCAGGAGCATTACTGTGAGTTCTAAGGCCAGCCTTGGTTCCATAAGAGACTCTCGAAAGCAAGCACAATGGGCTGGGAGTTGGTAGACAGCTTTCCTAGAAGCAGGGGTCCCCAGCCCCGCCCACACGGGGCACCCCAGCACGCGGGAGTGGGGTGTGGGGGAGACTATGAGCTCTGGTCATCGTTTGCTGCATAGAGATTTTGAGGTGAGCCTGGCCTGTGACACCATGAGTCAAGAACAAAACAAGGCTGGTGAGTGAGGCGGCTCAGCCTGGAAAAGTGCGGCTGCCAAGCCTGGGCCCCGGCTGACCCCGGGACCCCCAGAGTGGAAGGAAATTGTCCTCTGGCCTCCGCAGGGACCTGAGATGGCAGGTGCCCACACACAGTTACACAGTAAATAATCGTAAAAAACAAGACTTCTGCGCCCACACTCGGGGGACACATCCTGTTGTGAGGCTATGCCGGCCTGAACGTGACCATGAACGTGGCTCTTTCCAGACTGGAGGCCCGGCATGGCGGTGCCCTGGGACATAGCCACTGCCTACCTGCTGCAGGGGAGCTTCTATTGTCACTCCATCTATGCCACCGTGTACATGGACACCTGGCGCAAGGACTCTGTGGTCATGCTGGCGCATCACGTGGTCACCCTGCTCCTCATCGCCTCTTCCTATGCCTTCCGGTGAGGTCACCAAGAGAGTGGGCGGGCGGTCTGTGCAGGGCCTGGGGCCTGATGGGGCTGGAGTAAAGGGGGTCATGGAGCAGGGGTGTGTTACACCTCGTTCAACTCCTTTTACGTTTATTTCCTTCTGAAGGTGGCGTGGGTGTTGCAGCTTGTTTGGAGTTCGGAGGACAACTTTGGGGAGTGGGTTCTGCTCATACGTGGTTCTGGGAGGTGAATTCAGGTCATCAGGCTTGACAGCAAGTGGCTTTACCCACTGAGCCATCCTGCTGACCACTGTAGGACACCCTTGGCCCACACAGCAAGGGTTTACTCAAAGGGGACCCAGAAACAGGAGATCTGCTGTGGAGCCCGCGTGTTCCCCCCTTCCCAGGGGGCTGAGACAGGAGGATTGCTTGAACCAGAGTTCCAGGCCTGAGCTACAGTAGGGCCCTGTCTCTAACAGAACAGAAAGTCAGCTAGGCTTCGGAGGCTGAGATGGGGGCAGATTTCTGTGGGTTACGGGCCAGCAAAAGCTCTAAAAGTGAAATCTGACTCAGGGCAATAAAGGGGGCAGAGAAATAGCTCACAGCGCTAAGAGCACTAGCTGCTCTCCCCAAGACACAAGTTGAGGGGCCACATCCTCACCTCAGGACACCAGAGTCCCTGTCCCCACGGGCACTGGCATGTGCCTGACACCCAGAGACAGATTACACAGCAGCAAGGTCAGGGTTAACAGCTTTGTGAGCTGCTCTTGTTGGCTTTGGATCTTTTTTTTTTTTTTTTATGTGTATGGGCGTTTTGTCTGCACTGAATAGGATGTCCTGGAACTGGAGTGACAGTGGCTGTGAGCCACTCTGTGGGTGTTGGGACCTGAACCGAGTCTCCTGGGAGGGCAGCAGTGCTCTTGCCTGCTGAGCCGTCTCAGTGCGTGCTGCTCTGGTGGCTAACCCGGGCTCAGTGCCCGGCACCAGCTTGCTTCTGCTTCCAGGAGACCCTCCTCCTGCCTTAGTTGCACACACATGCACACTGTGTGCTGGGGCAGTCCTGGCCTCATGTCTGTACTCCACAGGTACCACAATGTGGGCATCCTGGTGTTCTTCCTGCACGATGTTAACGACGTCCAGCTGGAATTCACCAAGCTCAACATCTACTTCAAGGCCAGGGGTGGCGCCTACAGCCGCTTGCATGGGCTGGTGGCCAACCTGGGCTGCCTTAGCTTCTGCTTCTGCTGGTGAGGGGTGGGGCCAGACGGAGGGGTGGGGCCAGGTAGGAGGGGCATGGAAGAGAGGGGTGTGGCTTCCTAGGATGGAGCCATGCCTTGGTATGCCGTTTGGGGAGGGGCTGATGCTTGGTGAGGTGGGCGAGGCCAGGAGGATGTGGCCTAGTCCAGAAAGGGCGGGGCCTGGGAAGAAATGGAAGGGCGCTAAACTTGGAAGTGGCAGCACAGAGAATGTGGGGATGGGAAGGGATGGGGCTGCCAGGCCGAGCGGATCCTGGTGCATGCGTGACGAGTGGATACGTCAGGGAAAGGCAGGGAGGGAGGGAGTCTCCCTGACCGGCCCCTCTCTCCAGGTTCTGGTTCCGCCTCTACTGGTTCCCGCTTAAGGTTCTGTATGCCACCTGCCACTCCAGCCTGCGGTCGGTGCCCGACATCCCGTACTACTTCTTTTTCAACACTCTGCTGCTGATCCTCACGGCCATGAACATCTATTGGTTCCTGGTGAGTCAGCCCTGGGGTCCCTCGGGCCAGGAGGGGCCTATGTGCAGGGGTAAAGGGCCTGGCACCCACGGAGTCTCACCCGCGCCTTCTCCTCCCACAGTACATCGTGGCTTTTGCAGCCAAGGTGCTAACTGGCCAGATGCGTGAACTGGAGGACGTGAGAGAATACGACACTCTGGAAGCTCAGCCCGCCAAGCCCTGCAAAGCTGAGTGAGTGAGGCTGGGGCTCGGCCCCAGCTCCTCCCTTCAGGAACAGGTGTGGGACCCAGAAAATGCAGGGACCCCATAGCGAAACTCCCTGAGGCAGAGCTGTGGGTGTGCAGCCAGTAATGCAAAACCTCTTCTGAGAGCGGAAGAGGCCAGTCAGGGCTGGCAACTGCCAGCTGACTGGAAGGGGCGAGCAAGAGATTGCACGAGGCCGGACTGTGACCTCCCGCCCAAAGGGGAGGGGCAGGTGCTGTCCACCTGCCCCGTTGGCCTGGGAGTCCAGGGTTGGCTCAGCAGCCAGGCAAAGGCTGGAATGGTGGTGGGGTCTCTGGACCTCTGGGGTCCCCCCAGCCCCAGGCTGTGTAGACAGGCGGGATTCAGGGCGTGCAGCACCCCCTGAGACAATGGGAAGAACCCACAGCAAGAACAAGGGAGAAGGCTACAGAAGGTTCCATGAGGGCAAACCAGTCAGCCCCTGGGGAATGGTGGAGGCATCAGCTTGGACGCCGTGAGGTGATGAAGAGGTGTGATTTAATTGTGTTTTTTTTTTTTCTGGGCGTTGGTGTATCACGCCTTTAATCCCAGCACTCGAGAGGCAGAGGCAGGAGGATCTTTGTGAGTTCATGGCCAGCCTGGTCTACAGAGCGAGTTCCAGGACAGGCTCCAAAATTATACAGAGAAACCCTGTCTCAAAAAACAAAAACAAAAACAAAAAAAAAACAAATGATAATTTGTGTTTTTAAGAAATGGAGGACACTTTTAAAAATTATTAATTCTCATGGTAGGGATGGGTAGGGATGGCACATTTGCCGGATGTGAAGAGGTCACAGGACAACCTTGTGATGTCATCTCTTTCCACACGTGGGTCCCAGGGATCAATGTCAGGTCACCACGCTTGGCTACAAACAACTTTCCCCACTGGGCCATCTTGCTGACCCTAGAGTCTTTTGTTTTTAACGTTTCAATTATTATTTTTATTTCATGTGTGTGGGTGTTTTCCCTGCACGTCTGTATGTGCACCATGTGTGTGAAGTGTCCAGGAAGTCCACAAGAGGGCGCTGGGCCCTGGAAGGAGTTACAGATAGGAGGTTGCTGGACACTGAACCCAGGCCCTTTGAAAGGGCTATCACTGCTCATGACTGACCCTGAACCATTCCTCCTCAGTGCTTCTCCCCCTTCCTAATGCTGCAGTGCTCTAATACAGTTCCTCATGTTGTGGGGACCCCAAACCATAAAATTATTTTTGCTGCTACTTCATAACTGTAATTTTGCTACGGTTATGAGTCATAAAGCAGGGTTGAAGAGATGGTTCAGAGGTTAAGAGCACTAGCTGTTCTTCCAGAGGTCCTAGGTTCAATTACCTGCACCCACATGGTGACTCACAACCATCTGTAATGAGATCTGTGCCCTCTTCTGACCTGCAGGCAGAACACTGTATATAATAAATAAATAGATCCTTAAGAAGTAAATCATAGGGGCCTGGAGAGATGGCTCAGAGGTTAAGAGCACTGACTGCTCTACCAGAGGTCCTGAGTTCAATTCCCAGCAACCACATGGTGGCTCACAACCATCTATAATTCAATCTGGTGCCCTCTTCTGGCATGTATATGTAATAAATAAATAAATCTTAAAAAAAAGAAGTAAATCATAAAGTAAATGTCTGCTATGCGACCCCTGTGAAAGGATCGTTTTGGCCATAGATTGGGAACTGTTGTCCTGGCCCTAAGTTATTCTTTTGTTTTGTTTGTTCTTTCTGTTTGTTTGTTTTTTTTGAGACAGAGTTTCTCTGTGGCTTTGGAGGCTGTCCTGGAACTCGCTCTGTAGACCAGATTGGTCTCGAACTCACAGAGATCCGCCTGCCTCTGCCTCCCGAGTGCTGGGATTAAAGGCGTGTACCACCAATGCCTGGCAATAAGCGTCACGTTTTAATCCTCTCCACACAGCGACACCAACTGAGAACCAAGTGTTTAATCCACCAGCCTGTGGGCACATCATGGAGGGCTGGGCCTGGCATGTGAACCCTCTCCTAGGGCTGTGGGTTCAGTCAGAGGATGATGTCTGACTGAGCCCACAGCAAAACCTCAAAAATAAAAGTGGAACAGCCACCAAAGCAGCTTGCCTGTGAGAGTGTTAGACCGAGAATTAACCAACTTCAGGCTTATGGCTCAAACTGCTGTTTGTGCAGATGGGGTTCAGGGTAGGATTGCATTTGCTGAGACTTAAGAGGTCTACTGGGAGTGTCATTTAGGGTGTGTTGGATTGAAGTACCTTTAATGTGGGCCATGAGGTGTGTGAAGACATGGGAGACCATATTGAAGAAGCTTCTAGAACATTTCAGAGGCTTCTACAAGGCTTAAGAGAACAGGGTAGGGAGATCAAACAGATCAATCCAGGAAGGGTCCTCTTGCTACAAAACGTGTAGAGAGAGAAATGTTTGGAAATGCAGCACCCAGGGCTCCAAAAGCAGGACCTCCACCCACCCCCAGGGTAGCTGCTCTGCTTCAGCTGAGGAAGTCTGTAGTATGTCCCAAGATCAGAAACTGTGCAGAGGGAGCACTAGGGACCCCATGCCACCCATAACTTGACTACTGGGGGGCGGGGCAGAAACCTCGGATCTCATCCCTTCTTGAGGAAACCTCAGTCTGGCCAGAACTCCTGCAAGAATTGCTTAGCAATCAGGTTGTCACTCCCTGAGAATCAGAGAGAATGAAACTATCAATTAAAAGCCCTAGCGCCAGCCACGGGGGAGGCAGAGGCAAGCATGTCTCTGAGTTCGAGACCAGCCTGGTCTACAAGAGTGAGTTCCAGGACAGCCTCCAAAGCCACAGAGAAACCCTGTCTCGAACTCCCCCCCCAAAAAAAAAGCTCTAGCTCTAGCGCTTGACACGGTGGGCCACGACTTTGATCATCTCAGCCCGGGGGAAGAAGAGGCAGAGGCAGGTGGATCTCTGTGAGCCAGGGGCCAACCTGCCCCCAAAGGGAGCTCTAGGCTAGCTGGGGTCACAGGGAGGGACCCCATCTCAATAAACAACGTCTAAAGCTCCCCACAACTGGTACTTGGGTGCAGTTTGGCTGTAGAGTACGTACCTAGAGTGGCCTTTCATCTTTCCCAGAGATTCTGAATATTCTGCAGGGAGTCAGGGGTTGGGAGGCACACAGGATCACAGCAGGAAGGGTCTGGGTCCCAGTCAGGGAGCAAGCCTCGAGCGATGCCTGGGAGGTGGGAGCAGGGGAAGGGAAGATACTCAACAGGGAGGGGGAACACTGTGGTCCCCAGACTAATCTGTCCTGACTTCTGGTCTCCAGGAAGCCGCTGAGGAACGGCCTGGTGAAGGACAAGCTCTTCTGAGTCCCCGTCCTCAATGCCGCCATCCAAGACTCCCTCCTATGCTACCTGGGGGACCGGCCCCGCCCCTGGAGACTTGGCTCAGTCCCCGGAGGTCTGCTCCCACCCCTGGGTACCTGGCCCCGCCTTTGGGGGCATGGCCTCGCCCACAGGACGCCGGCCCCGCTCTGAGATGCGAGATGCGACTCTTCTTCAGGGTCCCCGGCTGCCAGCAGCTCCGCCCTCCAGGTCAACTCTAGACCACCCACCTTGGGACCGACGTCCAGCCGTCCTGCCCTCCAGATCAGTGGGGCTCGGACACGCCCCCTCTGAGAACTCAAAGTCCCCGGACCTGGGGCCACCAGCCCACTGGTCCCCGACGCAGTGGACCCCGCTGACTCTTGGACACCATCGAGGAGGAAAATGTTCCCCGTCGGCCGCTGTTCCGGCGGCCGCCTCTTTCTGCTCCTGCTCCTGCTGCCCTCAACGCCCCTGGCCCTCGAAGCAGCACCCTCGGGCCCCACCGCCGCCCTGCTCCAGGCTCTCAGGCTGCACGAAGCGCCCCGGGGCGTCCCCGCCCTCCGGCCTGTGCCTCCTGTCATGTGGCGCCTGTTCCGCCGCCGCGACCCCCAGGCAGCCAGAACGGGGCACCCTCTGCGGCCGTGCCACGTGGAGGAACTGGGGGTCGCCGGAAACATCGTGCGCCACATCCCGGACAGCGGTGAGTGGTGTTTGTGGGGAGACAGGGCCCTGAGGCCTGGTAGCAGGCGGGAACCCTGCTCTTAGTCCTCTGAACGCAAGGACACAGGCCCGGGGCTCTCCGCGACCAGGCCCCGACCTCAGCCCTGCCTCCACCCCGCACCTCGCACCCTTTGATGCCTGCCTGCCTCCCTCCTTCCCTCCCCCCCTTCAGGTCATTTTCCGGGCCCCAGGTGCTGGCCCCCTCCATCTGCCTGTCTCTAAGTGTAGGCGGCCCCCAGTGTCTTCCCTGCCCCCACCATGGTCGCCGACGCCACACAGATGCCCTCCTGCCTCTCTGCGCTTCCCCTCCTCCCGTCCCTACCCAGCCGTTTGCTGGGTCGTCACGCCGTGTCCACTCTTCTCGCCCTTCCAGGTCTGTCCTCCAGGTCCCCAGAGCCCAGCAGGACCTCGGGGCTGGGCCCCAAGTGGACCGTCAGCTTCGACCTGTCGGCCGTGGGCCCCGCGGAGCGCCCCACGCGTGCGCGCCTGGAGGTGCGGCTGGAGGCCGAGGACGCGCGCGGCTGGGAGCTGAGCGTGGCGCTGTCGGCCGCGGCCGGGCGTCCCGGGCCTGAGCTGCGCGTCCCCGTCCGGCCCGGGCTGCCGCTGCGCGCCGACCTCCTGGGGGCCGCGGTGTCTGCCAACGCGTCTCTGCCGCGCACCCTGCGCCTGGCGCTGTCGCTGCACTGTGGAGCCACCGATGCCCGCGCGCGCCTGGCAGAGGCCTCGCTGCTGCTGGTGACGCTAGACCCGCGCCTGTGTCCCCCGCTGCGGTCGAGGCGCCACACAGAGCCCGGGGTGGGCGGTGGCCCCGGGGGCGCGTGTCGCCCGCGACGGCTGCACGTGAGCTTCCGTGAGGTGGGCTGGCACCGCTGGGTGATCGCCCCGCGCGGCTTCCTGGCCAACTTCTGCCAGGGCGCGTGTACGCTGCCCGAGCCCGGCGGGCCGCCTGTGCTCAACCACGCCGTGCTGCGCGCGCTCATGCACGCGGCCGCCCCCACTCCCGGCGCAGGCCCGCCCTGCTGCGTGCCCGCACGCCTGTCGCCCATCTCCGTGCTCTTCTTCGACAACAGCGACAATGTGGTGCTGCGACACTACGAGGACATGGTGGCGGATGAGTGCGGCTGCCGCTGACCACCCGGGACCCTTGCAGGGACAGCCCCACGCGAAAGCAAGGACCGTTTGTTCATGTTTTATTGGTGACAAAAAGCTTAAAACAAATTTGACCAAAAATTAAGTTCCATTGCGTTGGCGCAGGTGTGCCTGGGTAGGGGTCGGGTGGTCACTGCGGGAGGTTGGTGCAGAGTGCCCCGCAATGAGGCCTCCACCCACGATGGGGAAGACCCCGCGGGCCACCACGCATTGGTCACGCTCACGAGTTCGCCTGCAGCTTCTGAAGCTCAAACTCAAACAAATCCTCTGGCCATGGTGCAGGCGGTGATCCCAGGCTGCGGGGCTCAGGCTTCTCAGCGCTGCCTCTCTGGAAGTTTCTCCAATCTCCTAGGTCCACCACTAAGGTCTTAGAGACAAACTGATCAAAGTACTTCCCATACTCCTTTGAAAGAATCTTTGAAAACAAAACAAACCCCCCCAAACCCCAAACACCGTGTTTTCTTTAAATGAAACCCCTTAGCGCTGGGACCGCGCGATGACGCTCCTGGCCGCCCGCTCGGGCACAGAAATGCGAAGTTCGTCCTGCTAAAACGTAGCCCCTCAATCACGAGAAACAAAGAAAAAGAACAGCGGGCCGGTCCTGGCGAGGCCTCTCCCTCTGGCGGGCGCGGCGCCGGGCCGGCCTCGCAGCGGTGCGGGCCTCTCTCCTCTCCGCCCGCAGGGGGCGCCCGCTCCTCGGCGCTCCGCTCCTCTCGTCGTCCTCCCTGGCCGCTCTCCGCTCGCTCTCGCTCCTCCTCTCCTCTCCTCTCCTCGGCTGCTCACACAGTGGTGCTTCAGTTTTAGCAGTGGAAAACAGGTATCCATTTATTTTTATTTTTTATTACCCAGAATAAGATGCTGATAGACTAAGCCACATAGCTTAGCTCTTCTGCCGCCACCTGTGATCAGGGACAGAGTGAGGCGTCAGGGCCAAGCAGAGGCAGAACCTGCCCGCACCCCACATCCGCCTGCACGTGTGCAGGGAGATAGCTGGGCACTTGCCTTCTAGTACTGGGACAGCCCGGTGACCCCGCCGTGCTGGTATGCCCGCTCTCCCTGGTACGTGGAGTCTTGGGAGAGTGCCACGTCAATCTGTGATTTAAACTCATCACCGAGGTAGCTGTCCTGAAAGGCAAAGCCAGAGTGGACTCTACAGTCTTGGTGGCGGGTTACATGCTCAGGTCCCACAGGGTCATCCCCCTCAGAAAGGTGCCACAACGGTCTCGTGTGCCCCACCCCCCAGCCCCTGCCAGTATGCAGGTGAGGACCCACCTGGGACAGCTCTGGCTGGGAGAGGCCGGGCTGGCTCATCTGGGAGGGCTGGCTCATGGACACATAACCCTGTGTGAGGGCCCCCTGTGAAAAGGGCTGTGAGGCCACATCCTGGCTGGCCTGGCTGTTGGGAAGGGTAGTCTGGCTGGGCCCAGGAAGCCCGAAGCGGTTCTTCTGGCGGCCTCCACGGCCAGTCTTGCTTTTCGGGGTGCCCCGGCCTGAAAGACAGCAAGAACACAGTCAGCTCCACCTAAGCCTGTCAGATGAGCACCAGCATGGTGACGAGAAAGCCACTTACCAGCAGCTGGCCCGTTGGCCTGTCCAAAGTACCCAGGTGGGGGCATGGGAGGCATGACCAAGTTGAAGGGGATGGGGATGTTCATGGCAGCCACATGGCTGGGCCCTGCGCTGATCATGCCAATCTGGTCGTGGGTCTGGAAGTACATGTTTGACGGCCGGCCTGCAAGAAACCTGCAGTCAGAAGCAGGCCTGCTGACGGCTGCAGTGAACACGCCGCTGGGCCGACCGGCCAAGTAGACAGCTTGCAGGGTGCCGGTAGAGGGTACGGAGCCGACGGAGGGGGTGGTGGGTAAGGTTCTGGCCACACTGGTGCTTTCTAGGCAACTCAGAAGCCTCCAAAAGCGGAGGCCAGCTTGGCTGAGGTGGGCACAGGCTGGCCTCAGAGGCACCAGCACAAACCCAGAGCAGAGGACAGCAGCCCTGGGAGCCTGGCTGGAGAAGCCACAAAGACCCACTGGGCAAGCTCCAGAGGGAGGCCAAGGCCAGCCTGAGAGGCCACCCACAGGGTGACAGATCCAGACGGGGACATGGGAAAGTCAACACACTGTGGTTGCCAGAAGACTCACCCTGGCTGCTGCGGTCATAGACAGACCCCGGGATGATGGCCTCTCGGGCATCGTACATGGCTGTAGTCATGAAGCGGGCCCCCTGCAGGGTGGCACAGGAGCGCGGAATGTGTCAGTCAACAGCAGAGGGAGAGGCTAAGCCTGCTTCCCTCGCAGCCCTCCCGCTGCCGCTGCACACCCACCGGGTTGACGGTGTTGACGAGCTTGCGGGGCTTGCTGAACTGCATGAGGCTCTCCCGCAGGTTGTTGAGCGGCCCCTCCACCAGGGCCTTCTGCTCCTTGTAGTAGCTCAGCAGGTGGTTCCACAGGGGCTGCTTCGACAGGGCCTTTGGGTTGCCCACAATGATCACGCCATACCTGCAGGGCAACCGCCACACTGAGAGCTCACGGTCACACCCACCTGACTTGTGTCTAGGGTTACCTTAGTACCCTGAATGTCGAGAGCCAAACACTGGTCAACACTTGAGGTGTCGCCTTAAAAAAAGGAGCAACCGAAAGCAACCCTGACCCAAGCGGAGAAGGAAGGCCGAGTCCACGTCTGCAGTGGGCAGGCAGCGGTGCCCTCGTGTCTGTTGGCGCCACGGAGTTGCTGTGGCTGTGCTCCTGAACCAGTGAGGCCACGACAAGCAGCCCTTGGACAGGGTGCCAAAGACACAGGGTCACGGCGAGCCTGAGAGCATGTCCAGGACAGACACGGAGAGAATGGGGCCAAGTGAGGGGCTTCCTGTTGCTGTTGGGGTGAGAAGGAGGGGGCAATGGGCGTCTGCTACCTCGCTCTGGTGAGGGCCACGTTGAGACGGCGGGGGTCGTTCAGGAACCCAATGCCCTGGTGCTCATTGGCGCGCACGCAGGACAGGATGATGAAGTCCTTCTCCCGGCCCTGGAAGGCGTCCACACTGGCAATCTCCACTTCCTGAAGGACACCATGTCCCATCAGCCACAGCCTCCCTGCCTCTTCCTTCAGCTGCACTCAGGCAGCTGCATCCCTGAGCACGGTGCAGCTGGACACCAGTCCGCAGGGATGGACACCGCAGGCCCGTCATGGAGAACCAGAGACTGAGTGGGCTGCATGGTGCCAACTGCTGGCCATGGCACAGCCCAACACAAAACCACCAGAGCTCGATGTCTGTCACAGGCCCAAGACACTGTGCTTTGCTTCCATTAGGGTACAAGTACCATGTCCCCCAGGTGGCACCAGCTGTCCTGCCCGTTTAACCCTGGACTGCTCTCTTTTTGAGACAGTCTTACTGCGTAGCCCTGGCTGTCCTAACGCTCATAGGCCAGGCTAACTTCAAATTCACAAAGATTCACCTGCTTGAGCCACCAGAGTGCTGACATTAAGGTACGACTCGTCACCACAGCCTTTCTACTTTGTAAGCCCTGCAGCCGTCTGGAAGCTACTCTGATGCATTCACTGTGGCTGAAGACGCTGACCCACAGCACATCCGGCAGCTTTACATGATGCTGGTAACACGCAGTCACGTGCTCTCCTCACTGTCCCACGTCAAGGCACATTTTAACATGCATTATTTGCTGTGTGCCCTTGCATGTAGCCCGCAGCACGCACGTGCCAATAAGGACTTGCAGCAGTCCTATGTGGGTCCTGTGGAGCACCCTCTGGTCATCGGGGGCGGCGCTGCACTAAGCCTTGGCCCGGGTGTACCTGGTAGAGCTTGGTGTGCAGGGAGCCACTGAACTGCATGTACTGCACCAGGTAGGAGCGCTGGCCCTCGTAGGGCGTGATGATACCAATCTGGTCGGGCTTGGCGCCTGCCTTCAGCAGCTTCGTAGTTATCTTCTCCACGTTGGCCGCCTCCGTCCTGAGAACATCTGGCTGTCAGTGACAGGCTTGCCACAGTGGTCCCCAGCCTGGCAGATCACCAGCAACCAAGGGGGCATTGGAGGCCACACAATAGTCCCCACCTGTCCTTTACCGAGGCCCCCATATGCTGGAACAGGCAGAGCAAACCAGAGGGGGAGACGCTGAGGCAGCTCCACCCACAGGCCGCAGCTGCATACCTGTTGAGGTAGGACGTGCCGGAGCTGGCAATCTCCTCCTGGCCCTGTGTCACGTAGAAGAACATGGGCTTGTCAGGCTGTGGCCACTGGAAATCAAAGCCCTTCTTGACACGATCCGCTGTGTCAGGGAAGACAGAAGCGTTACTGACTGACAAGTCCCAGGGGCTCCAAGTGCATACAGACGAGAGCAGTAACGTCACAGCGCCAGCGGCGCGGCCTCCAAGGCCCCTGAGCCAGACAGGCCTGGGAGAGGACAGGGCGGCCAAGGGGTCAGGCCAACACTGCTCAAGGCATCACTAGGGACACGAGACATTCTCAGTCCCCTAGAAGCTGCACCACTGCACCTTAGTGGGCCCATAGCCCCCATGACAGTGGGACCAGGGAGCCACCCTGTCCTCAGACCCAGGCCTGCCAGGGCCCTGCTGATGTAGGTGCCACACTGCACCCCTCCTGCTCTGCTACCGCCATCCTAGGCTTCTTCAGACTGCTCACCGACTAGACGCTAATCTCCTCACACTCACGGGGCACGTGCAGCCTGGGGGCAGGCCATGGCACCGCTGGAGCTCTGTGCCCACCAGGCAGGCCTGTCCTGGCGCAGCATAGCCAGGGCTGGGCACGCCTGTCCCAGGATTTCCACTGCGACTCTTGAGTGGCACAAACAGCCGAGAACAGGGACCACCCAGGGGACAGCTGCACAGACCAGAGCAGGTCCAGCCTGGCCAGCAGAGCAGTGCCATCCACCTATGGATGCCGGGATCCACGTGCCAGGCCACACGGCCCAGCTCTGAGCAGGCATTGAAACCCACACTGACCCACTGAGAAGCTGCGTGTGCGCCTCAGAGGGCTCTCACTACAGAGCCCTGGCGGGTCTTGACCTCACAGATCCTGCCTGTCTGCTTCCGAGTGTTGGGACTAAAGATGCAAGCCA